CATCAACTGTTTAAGTGTTCAATTATCAATAAGCTGAAGTCTGTGGAAGGCCATAATGGCCCTGCTTTAAGTGGTTCGCTGCTCCCACAGCTCACCACGCTGTCTCTGCCTCTGCCCTGTTTTCATTCTTGCGATAGTGAATTGCTATGAACATTAGTGTAAAAATCTCTGGTTGTATCTCAGTTCTAATTTCCTTGGGGTATATTTCTAGTTGTGGAATAGCTGGGTCACCCGGAATTTCTATGTTCAACTTATTGAGGATATTCCAAACTGTCTTCCAGAGTGGTTGCACCATTTTACACTTCCACCACCAGTGTATGAGAGTTCCCGCCTCTCCACATCTTCTCCAACATTTATTGATTGCTGCTCTACTAAAATTTGCCACTGCTACTGGGGTGAGATGGTATCTCATTGAGCTTTTGATTTGCATCTCCTCATTGCCAGGGATTTTGACCATTTCTTCTTATGTCTGTTGATCTGAATGTCTTCATATGTGAAAAGACTTTCCATGTCAGTCTTTTTCTTCTGGAGGTCCTGTAAGATTCTTAAACTTTTATAACGAGACCTTTGGCTTAGATTGTATTGCCAAATGTTTGTTCCCAGCCAGTAGGTTTTCTTTTCACTTTGTTGGAAAAATGTTTTAATGAGCACAGAGATTCAATCTTTATAAGGTCCCATTCATCAATTTTATCCTCTCCAGATTGTGCATTTCTGGCTGTATTTGGCAGTCTCTTTGTACCATAGACAAGGCCTTTTAAGCTTGGTTCCACTTTATCTCTTTTGGACTTTACTCTCCGGTCTCTGATCCACCTTGAGTTGATTTTTGTGTATAGTGTGAAATGTGGATCATGCTTCAGCTTTCTGCAGTTAGCATCCCGGTTTTGCTAGTACTGTTTGTTGAAGAGGTTGTCATTTCCCCATTTCATAGGTTTTATTTCCTTTTAGCATATCAGTTGTTTTTTCTTACCTTAAAATTTCTGAATGTTGATATCTTTCTAACATAAACTAGTTTTAATTTTTTTAAAAAACCCAGATTTACAGAAAATTGCAAGAAAAATATAGGGAGGTCTCTTTTCTTTGGAGTTGAATTGCTAAATCTTATTTCCTTAGAAAGGACAGTTCTTCTTAAGAGTTATATATGGCTGCTGTTCACAGAATGCATAATGGTCTATTCTTCAGTACAGACTCAATGCTGCTTTTCCCCTGGTTTTCATTTCTCTTTTGTTGGTAAGATTCAGAGTGGCATTGAAAGTGCTGACTCAGCTTGTTGTTGGGGGCATAGAATGTATAACTGTGGGCAGAGGGGACCTTGCCAGGGTGATTCATGGACGTAGTGCTATAGTGAATAGAACTATAGACTCTAAAAGCCTGAGTTTTCAGTCTGTACTTTATCACATTTATAACTGTGTGACTATTAAAATTCAGACTTATCCTCTCTTGATAGATTTGGAATTCAAGTAATAAAACAGTTTGTAAACTAAATCCTTGGTTTAGCATTGTTTTTATTAAGACCTTTTCCTTTCCTTTTTTTGGGTAACAATAGCATACATATTCTTACTTTTTTAATTTTTTAAAAAAATTCTTATTTTAAAAAAATAAAATATTTAAAAAAAATTCTTGGTAGTAATTTCTAGATTAAAATTGACTCCTTTAAAGTGGAGGAAAAGGGCAAAGAAATGTTGTGCAAAATCCACACTTACAACGTGTATAGTATTTGGGGAAACAGGAGGGCAGAGAGAAGCACTACCAGAATAGAGTGCCTACACCACCTCTGGTGATAATAGCACCAGCTCTTATATCAGCCTGTTATCACCTATCTGGTGCCAAGTGACTGCTTTCATGTGACTGTGTCACCTAAGAGATCTATTTTTGGTGTATCCTTAAATTGGAATTCTTGTTTTAAAAAATTTCTGAAATGTAAATTCAAGCAGCTGAAGGTGGAAAAATGATAATGATGATGAGAAAATCACCATTCATCTCTTGATCACTTTAACAACATGTTCAATACTCTGTTGGGGCAATGTTGGTTCAGTGGTAGAATTCTCAGTCATAGCTACTGCCTGCTCATCAGTGAAGGCTCTGTGTTCCTCTGGTGCTGGACAGGTTTCTGTGGAGTTTCCAGTCTAAGATATACCAGGAAGAAATGTCTAGGGATTTACTTTCAGAAATTAGCCCATGAAAATCATGGCTCACAATGGTCCAATCTGCAAATCATCATGGTGCAAGGCCAAATAGTATTTCATTAAATTTTATGTGGGGCCCCCGGTTAGTTGGGCAACTTGATGGCAGATAATAATGGCAAATATGGCATATAGAGGATTTATATTCATCTAACTGAATCTCAGTAACTGTAAAAAACCTTGTGAGGTAGATGATGCCCACATTTTTGTAGACAAGAAAACTGAGGCTTCAAATGGTTAAATAAAATCCCTAGAGTCACATAAGTGCTAAAGGGTAATTCTTTTTCAGTTGAGGCCTATTGAGTGTCAAAGTTTGTATTTTCACAGTCTGTGGTCCAAAACCCCAAACCAAACACACAATCAAGTCAGTCGTACTCCATTTGATTTTCATAGAGCTGTTCCATAGGGTTTCCCGGGATGTATATCTTTACAAAAACAGACTGTCTCATCTTTCTCCTGCAGAGTGGCTGGTGTGTTCAAACTACCAACCTTTTGTTTTGTTTAGCATCTTAATACCTTAGCTACAACTCCACCAGAGCTCCTTTACACTGCGATTGAGCTTGTTATTGCCTTTAAGTCGCCTGTGACTCATAGCGGCACTAATGTATAACAGCCCTAAATGCTACTCTATCTTGTGACAGACTTATTGACTCTGACACACCCACCCCCATTACCCCAGTCACTGACTCAATCCATCTCATCCAGGGTTTTCCTTTCTTGCTCTGTCTCTCCATCCTCCCAAGCATGATGTCCTTCTCCAAGGATGGGCCCTGCCTTCAACTTGTTCAAAGTATGTCTGACTGAGTTTCAGGAGAGACTTTATATTATAGATAAGAAAGTAGAAGTCCTGAAAAGTCACAAGAAGTGATTATGCTCCATCTCAACTTTAGTCTAGATCTTTTCCTGTATTATATTCTTATTATGATTTGCTTAGTGTACGTGACACATTAAGTGTTTCTGGTTCTTTGTCCATGATTCATCAAATTGAGGCAGTTTAGTAGAGTGAGGTTTAGTTGTTTTTTTTTAAGTAGAATTATCAAGAATTTGATTTTTCTCACGAGGCATTTTCTTCCAGACTCTATAAAGAAGGCTCTGTCCCCCATGTGCTATTAAAAGTTGGACCTTGTGACTAGTGACTGTGCTTTTCTTTTAGGGAAGCCAGAGGGGGCAGTCTTTGACTTCATGTTGAAAATAGCCACCAAGGAGCTCTCCAGCATAATTTTTAGTTCTTTAATTTTGGTAAGACTACATTTTCAAAGCAGATTAAATTTGTCTGATTTGTTTCAGAAGTATATATTACAAAGCATTCAAAGACAAGTGGGAATTCAAATGCACAGGGCAGAGCTGGAGAAGTATGTAAAGAAAGGCTCTTCAGGAGGTAAGCATTTCTTCTCAAAGCTTTGATACTGTATTTTCAAAAACATATTTCCAATATTATTAAGAATATAATTTATATAAGTGTTCTTTTTAAATATTCAAATGACAACCTCTAATTGTTTTTTAATACTTTCAAAAGACAGAGAAGATACATCCTGAAATCCTAGGAGAATTCCACCATTTTCTTCCCAACTCTCAAGGAACGTGGAAATTAATGAGTAGCGTTTTACGTGAAAATTACTCAACATTTCTTTCTTCTTATCTCTGAGTACCTTCTGTGGAGAATTAATAGGAAGTTGAATACATACATGGATAAAATGGACCATCTTAAAGGATTGAAGTTCCAAAAATACATCAGCAGGACTGGACAGGTTTGGCATAATGAGGTTCTATTTTAACCTCACTTCTGGAACTTTGAATAAACTGAGCTGCACAAGGTCCCAGGAAGGAGGAAGGAAGTTTCTCTTCCTAAATCCTCCAGCTGCATGTATTTTTCTTAACTTAGATCTTTTAGAAAGAAAACTATTACACAAGTAGCAAATTTGAATATATGAAGTGGGATAGAAAGCTGTAGTCTGAACCAGACTGGGAAACAAATTTAAAACAAAATACCAAGGACATAAGAGGAGAAATCTCTACTTAAGGACTGGTTGAGATGGCCGAGGCTTCTGCGGATGCCTCAACTTTGTCCGGAACAACAAAGAAAAAGAAAAGTTTATCCATTGAGGAAAAGATCGACATCATAAATGCAGTGGAAAGTGGCAAGAAAAAAGCAGAGATTGCGGCCGAATATGGAATAAAGAAAAATTCTCTGTCTTCCATTATGAAGAATAAAGACAAAGTCCTGGAGGCTTTTGAATCTCTGAGATTTGACCCAAAGAGAAAAAGACTGAGAACTGCCTTTTACACAGATCTGGAAGAGGCCTTAATGAGGTGGTACCGAATTGCACAGTGTCTAAATGTACCTGTTAACGGTCCAATGTTACGCCTGAAAGCTAATGATTTTGCCCAGAAACTGGGTCATAATGATTTTAAGTGCAGCAACGGTTGGCTGGATCGCTTCAAATCCAGGTATGGCTTAGTGTTCAGAGCTCAGCCTGTCGAGGCTACAGCTACTTCTGCAGACCCTGCAACTGTCTGGTGTCAAAATGTCCTTCCTTATTATTTAAACGATTACCATCCTAAAAATGTTTTTAATGTGAAAGAGACCGGGTTGCTTTATCGAATGCTACCTACAAATACATTTGCATTTAAAGGAGAGACATGCTCAGTGGGGAAATTATGCAAAGACAGAGTAACCCTGGTGGTGGGGACAAACATGGACGGCTCAGAGAAACTGCCTTTGCTTGTCATCGGGAAGAACAGAAGTCCGCCTTGTTTCAAAGGTGTAAAATCATTGCCTGTGTATTATGAGGCCAACAGAATGGCACGGATGACCTCAGAGATATTCGAACAATGGATGTGGAAGCTTGATGAGAAATTTCAAGCCCAGCAACGAAGAGTGGTGATTTTTGTTGATTCTTTTCCTGCTCACCCAGAGGTGAAGAACCTAAAATCAATCGAGCTAGCGTTCTTGCCATCGTTTTTATCCTCCAAATTCATAGCTATGAAACAAGGTGTGATCAAAAGCCTTAAAATCAAATATCGCCATTGCCTTATCAAGAAATTTTTAAGCTCTGTTGAAAGTAGCAAAGAATTTACATTTTCCCTGTTAGATGCAGTCGATACGTTGCATCTCTGTTGGAGGACTGTGACCCCAGAGACTATTTCTAAGAGCTATGAAGAGGCAGGATTCAAATCTCAAAAGGGAGACGAAAACACATCAAATGCAGAGTCAGACACCAGCCTTGATTTAGCTACCGATGCCCTGGCGGCAGGAGTGGAATTTCCTGAAGGTTTATCTATAGAAGAATATGCCGCCCTGGATGATGATTTGGAGACTTGTGAAGCAGCATCAAATGATGATTCTGTATGGACCAAAGAGAGTCAATCAGATGAACCAGAGTTTTGTTCTTCAGATGAAGAGGATGACAGTGGAGCTCCGGGAACTGAGATCACACTACCGTCAAAAGAAGAGGCAATAACTGCTTTAGATACCCTAAAAAGGTTTCTTAGAAGTCAAGATATGAATGATATGCTTCATAATTCTTTAGCAGATATTGAAAATTTTGTTAGTTCTTTATCATCTAAATAATTATTTAATGTATATCAGAAAAATACTAGATCTTCCTGATACATTTTATTTTTAAAGCGTGCCAAGGGAAAATATCACTTAAGCATAAAAAAATGACAAACTTGTGATTTTTAGTTTCATTGTAAAGGTCTAAAGTGTGAATAACAAAACTCCTTAAGTAGATTAATAAAATAATGATTAAGTAAATGAAAAATATTAATTTCTATTTAGTTAACTTTTAGGCAATTAAAAATATCTTTCAGCGGCCTTGTAATTGAAAAATATGGCATATGTGTATATGAAAAATAAAATGGTCCTCAGATATCTGATTTATACAAAATGAATTGGTAACTATAATACTATTTTCTTAATTCAAATAATGTTATAGGCTAAAAACCAAAATATATACTTTTTAAATAGTTATAAAGATATGTCGTGTGAAAGTAATTCTATTTATTTTCATAGTTAACTAATCTTCCTAATAAAAAATTATAAAAACCTACTGAAAATAAAATCTAGTTTAAGCATATACCAAAATTATTAAGAATATATATCTTACTATTTCAAAGTAGTTTCTGTAAAAGATTAGAAGGAAAACGATCACGGTTTTTATTACTAAAAGAACATATGAGTTCTTTCTAAATATTTTTGTGTGTTTTTAATGGAAAATATATTACAAAAACATTAAACTCTAATGGTATCTATAGTTTTCTTAGATTTGCATTTTTAAAAAAATATATTTTAAGAGTTTTAAATTAAATATGAAATATACACTTATTAGTAGATAAAATCTGTGGTTCTTAGATTCTGTCTAATTTTACTAGATTAAGCTTTTAATATAAAAATTTACTTTTTTGAGTTTACTAATTTTGCTTTTAAAAAATATTCAACTAAAACAATGTCTTTTCACATCTTTGATGTACTTAATCTCTATTTAAAATGATAATATTTTGGGTTACATTGTAACTTGAAGAAGTTCTGTCTATACAGTATTTAAAAACATGTGATCTTATGAAGATCTAGAAATATAATCTTTAAAATGTAGAAAAGCATAGCAATGAGACTTTGCCGTTGTTAAATTTCAATTAATGTAATAATTTAGCTTCTTATTACATCTAATTTAAGATCTTTGAAAAGTGTTTTGGAAAAGTGAGAAACTTTATACAGATTATTTTAGCTCAAAATGTCAACAGAAGACATATTTAAAAAATATGTTTATAGGGATTTTTTTTATTTTCCACTTTTGATTTAGTCTCCTTTGGAAATTTAATAAGAATATGCTTTTTAAAATGTACTAAGTTAAGAAAGTTTTGTTTAGTGTGAAATATAGATTAGTTCTGTTTAATTAAAAGTATTTTATTACTTCTTTACCTTAAAATTTTAGTTTGGTAGAATTAGGAACCTACAGAAATTTTCAAGAGCCTCACCTGTAATTATAGTACTTGTCGTATATTGGAACCTCAATAAATATTCTTTCTTCTCTTCTGTGATGTTTTACTATCAAATATTTTTTATTATCCTAGATATTCTACTTCTCTCTAGTTTTACAAATGAGGATATTAAAAGCCAGAAAAAGTGTAGCATTTGGTAAAATCTCAGTGCCCAAACTAAAACACGTTAGTTTCCTGGTCATTTATCCCTGAATTCCATTGATTAACCACAGGGCTCCTTGTGTATAATGTATTTTTAAAATTCTAGGGGTCTTTTTTCTTCTTTAGGTTTAGGATCTCAAAGGCATAATATTTAAGATAATATGCTGAGTTCAAATTGATAGTATTACTCCCTAGCTCTTAGAACAGTTACTGATTAAATACTGGACTTCTGAGAGATCTGATTTGGCAATTCAGATGTTCCAGTTTAATTCTATTGAAACACTGCAAACAAACAACTTTAATATTTTCGTAATGTAAAACACCGCCCCTCATATAATACAATCCATTTTTTTATTATAAATGCCTCAGGGGCATAATAAATCTGAACATGATAAAGATAATACAATACTGTCAGGAAAAAAGATGCCTTAAAGAGGTTTTAAATTCAAAGAGAAACTTTAGATTGTTAATATGTCTACTCTTTTTTTTGTAGTTTGTAAAATACATAGATTTTGAACAAATTTTTTAACAAAAATTTAAAATCTGCTTTTCCTTGGACATAGACAATAGCTGTTGTGTATGAATAATCTCCTCCTGTGTGGTTAATTGCTTCTGAAAACCCACAGGAGGTCAGCTGTGGGTCGGTTCGGACTTGACGGTAAACCACCACCACAACAACAGTATAGTCAATACAGACGGGCCTCAAAATGCCACTTGTCTCTTAAAAAATGCAAACTAATTTATTATTTGCCCATTTTCAATTAAATACAGCACCATTTGTACCTTGGTCTTACCTTTTCAATCCCTATTATTTAGACACTGGTTTTGCTTCTTTCTACTTCATCAAGCTATAAATCTTCTTCTATTGAATTGGGACTTGTTTTGCTGTTAGTGGCTACTGAAATACTCATTAGGTTTGGTTCAGGATAAACGGGGACAATGTACTTCAACTTTTAGAGGGTTTCATGTTGTCTGCTTGGCTTGGACCTAAGATCAAATTTAAAAAAACCTCTCTCTCTAATAATATACAAAGCAGAATAATTGGGAGGAGGAGGAAAAAGAAGGGAGTGGGAGTTGGGAGAGCCAGATTCCTACACAGCCACCTCACAAGCCAAAATTAGCAGCCTTTCAGCTGCTAATCAGTAGGGCCCCCAGTTATGTGGAGACTGGTTAAGAGTTTGCCTGTCAGGTGCAGAGTCTGTGGGGGGCTGTGTCTCTGTGGCATTCTTTGCTACCTAAGGTAAGTACAGTACCTGACAGGACTCAGGAAGATGCTGATAGTTCGTACCTCATCAGGAGAGAAAGGATTAGATTGTGGCTGAGTTCCACCCAAGAGGTTTTCAGAAAAAGTGTCAATGAAATAAACGAAATCTAGTCTAACGTCTATGTTACCTTGATGTTTAATTTCTCTGAACCTCAGTTTTTATTATCTTTAAAATGAAGTTACCAATACTTTGTCAGAACTTAATTTGAAGATAAAATTTTGTACAGAAATGCATTTAGAAAGCTCTAAAGTATCCCACACTATAAAAAATGACTAGAAATTACTACTTCTCATATATGCCTAGATACAACACTTAATGTTCACTAGATATTGTCAATTTTTTTCATTGACATTCTTCTAAGCTAATAAGATGAGAAGCCAACACTAAACACAACTAGGGATGGTTGGTTCCAAAGCCAAGACGTTCTCCCAGCTGGTGGAAGCCTGTGCAGAGTGGAGAGAAGGGGAGGGGAGGGAGTATTCTGCAATACACATAGAATTTATCTACAGAGATCAAAATAGATTTCCGTTCTGAATCCGGGAAGAAGGTGACTTGTTATGGACCATCCGTCGACCATGATTTATAGCAACCCTATAAACAGTGGATCTGAATCCTGCCCTGCAATGTTCCATGCTCATCTTTGATGAGCCCATTGATATAGGCACTGTGTCACTCCATCTTGTTGAGGGTCTTCTGTTTCCCTGATTCTTCACTTTTCCAGTGATGTCCTTCTCTGAGGACTGGCCCCTTCTCTAACAACATGCCAAAATATATAAAAGGAAGCTGCACCATCCTGGCCTCTAAGAAGCACTATGTTTGCACTTTCTCCAAAGCAGGTTGGTTTGTACCTTTAGCAGTCTGTGGGATATTCAGTACTCTTCTCTAACACCATAATTCAAAGATACCAATTATCCTACAACCTTTATTCAACAATGTGACTTAGAAACCTTTAATTTTTCTGAATAAATTCTTTTTTTCATTTTACTATTTTTGTGTGAGTGTACCGTCAAATCAGATCTGACTGGTACAGGAGGAGATTGTCCCTCCTTCCCCGGCAGAACATCTGGTAGATTTGAACCGTGCGCCTCTGGGATTGTAGTTGCAGCTCCTTACCACTAGGCCACCAGAGCTCCCCTTGAATAAATTCTTAAGCAAAGCAATACACTATGTTCTTGTCAAGAACTGGGAATTTGTATACTACACTGTCTGATTTGAATGTCCAAATTTTATTGGGCTGTGTGAGATTAACTTGTGAAGCCTAGAATAACCCAGAGTCAGACTAAGTAAAAATACATGACCTCATTTCAATAAAGGGAGCTCTGGTGGGCTAGTGGGAAGGAGCTGTGCTGCCAACCCAAAGACACAAGATTCAAATCCAGCCACTGATCTGTGGGAGAAAGATTAGTAGTCTTTCTCTATGTGACTTACTGTCTCTGAAAACCCACTGGAGAATCAGCTATAAATTGGTTCTGACTTGATGGTATGTAACAACATCAACACCACCAATAAAGGAGTCTGTGGATGGCTCAAACAGTTAAGCGTTGGGCTCCTATCCAAAAGGTTGACAATTCAGACTCACTTAGAGATTTTTCAAATACAAGGCCTGGTGATCTAAAAGGTGAAGGCCTTGACTTCCTTGTAAGACAGTTAGTTCTGTGCACACATGAGATTACTATGTATTGGAATAAATTTAAAAGCAACTAGGTTAGTACCAGTGAGGGTACTTAAATAATTTAATTCTCAATTTGATAAAAATTAAAGGTCTATGTATTTCAGAACTTGTAAATAAGCTGTAGCCATTAGCAAAGGCCTTAAGGTTTATGGATATAGCCCTTGATGAAATTGGAATAAATCTGCATGAATAAATGTGAAGACTCTGTATTTAAACATGTTATTCCCCCCTCCCTTAAAAAAATGCCAGTCAAAATCCCAATACAAGTGCCTCAAAATTGCAAAATATTCTAATTTTTATCTGGAAGAACAATTTTTTTAAAATAAAAGAGAATATTTGAAATACTAGATGTGAAAATAATAGATTTGAACAATAGAACTATTTAGATCAATCAAAGGAACAATGTATCTAGGAAAAGACTTAAGAATATAGTTATATCAACAAACAAATGGATAGAGAAGCTGTGGTATATTCACAGAATGGAATACTACTCTGCATTGAAAAAACAAGGAATTCATGAAATATTATTTAAAATGGCTGAGTGGGCCACCTTCTTAATGAATGATATATAC